TAGTTTAAGATGTTGTACATCTCTATATTCTTTTAAAAAACAACTTAAAACACATTTATTTAATCAGGCTTTTAACTGACTCTGTATACAATCGTTAACATGTCCATAATCTTGTGGTTTATGTATGATTTACCTTGTCACTTTGTAAAGTGCCCCTGAACATGTTATATGAAAGGGTGCACTATAAATATGCTGTAATAATAATAATAATAATAAAAATTGTGACCTTTAGAGGGTCCACAACCTTGGTATTACATACTTTTACACTATTTTGGTACACGGAGCAGCCATTTTGTTTCAGTCTGATTTTCCCCGAAATTAGAACTCAACCATCATTATGGTGTAACAGTGATATAATTAAACGGTTTTTTTTTTAAATCGGATAAAAATTGTGACATCTAGAGGGTCCACAAGCTAAAAACGTGAATCTTTCTACAATCAGCGGGCCATAATAGAGGAAGTTTCGATATTCACACACCTCAGACCGTAAGGCATCAAAATCGGATACCAATTGTGACGTCTAAGAGGCTCCACAACCTTGGTATTACATACTTTTACACTATTTGCGCATGGGGAGCGGCCTGTTTCAGTCCGATTTTCACGAAATTTGAACTCAACAGTCATTATGATATATTTGAATTGTGACCTGTAGAGATTCCACAAGCTAAAAACGTGATTTTTCGTACAATAAGGGGCCATAATCCAGGACGTTACTGCCCAATATATGCCAATATCAAAAGGAACTAAGATCTTTGGGTTATAAACATATATTTTAAGTTTCTTCAAAATCGGATAAAAACTGTGACTGGTAGAGTGTCCACACAAACAAAATGTGAAGGGACAAATGGACCCATGGACAGTCAGAGGGACAGGGGCGATGACAATATACGTCCACATGAAAATATAATTTGATGAGGTAAAGTGGAGACATAAATTAAAGCTATGAATTTGACCGGTTAAAATTTAAAACATTCATGATAACAATAAATTTGATTGGCTAAAATGAGAGCAACAATTAAAGATACATTATCTAAGATTTATGTAAAGAGCTGACCGTTCTTGCTATACATGTAATAGTTCAAAAATAGATAATGCAAAATGAATATATTGGAAATTTGGAACAAATGACTTTACTCTGAGCAAAGTTATCACTGTTTATAGTTTTGACAAGATGCGTGCATTTATTGTTTATCATCGTAACCACGGTACTATGGAAGGGTATCACTGCCAATATTAAATGCTCAGCTAAAATGTCTTTTCAATTGCTTATATGTAAAAAGTACAATCAATGTACAAAGTCATATTACCGGTAATGATAAAATCAAAATACTTGTAAGGCCAAAGTTAAATATAAAACGTCAAAAGTAATGTGTAAAATGATAAATGTTTTATTGGAAAATGCTGTTTTTTGACATGTCAACATTTTACATTATTTTCATAACATCTTACATTTGTGCTCTGCCGCATCTCATTTGTGCTCCACGTTTTCTAAATAGCATCTTACGCACAGCGTTATCTTTGATATTATGTAAGTAGGATATCACGTGACTTTAAAAACATTTACGGAAACAAGGCTGAGATTAACCTGGCACACTATAAGCCAGCACCTTAACCTTGACAAATGATCAAATTTGGATGGTACTAAACCAGTGATGGGATTTCAAAATTTTTCGCGTCGGACATTTTTACCGAAAATAAAGGGGCATAACTCTTATCATTATTTAAGCAGGCGGTTTCAGACGACAATTAAAAATCATGTGTCAACAAAATATTCAAACTCGTACGTAACAAAAAAAAAAATAGGTGCGCCTCGTTATTTTTCACATTAATTCTCGTACGGTATTGAAATTTATGTCAGTAATATACCTACAAAATTACCTGTTGTCGTAATATGATAGTCTGAAAGCGTGCCGACTACTGTCGACCCATACTTTTGTTCAAAATCACCTCTAAAATTACCGTATTTTCCCGGGTATAAGTTGGTACTTTTTTCAGCAGAAGTCCGGCATTGTAATCGAAGATAACTTTTGATGTAGCATACGAATTTAGCATCACACGCAATGTGCGATTCACACAGTTCGTGCCATCAGGTGGCAAAATTTGGAACAAATGGGTATATTTTGTACTTTTTCAGTGGGCATTGAATTTCGAGACTGAATATTTGGAAAAGTATATATCCCATCGATAAAAGCCAAACTGGCATTAACTATGCCAATTTTTGAGTTTGTGTATACAATAGTGACTTTGCTAGAAATAATCCTGAAAATAAAAGTGAATAGTTCATTTGTTTCACATTTTGCCACCTGGTGGCGCAAAAAATATGCATTGGACATTGAGTGTGATGCTAAATTCGTAATCTACACCAAAAGTTGTCTTACTGCTATTAGAAATCTGAGTTTAAAGCACCTGAAAACCTGAAAAAAATTATTGAATTTATGATCCGTTTCAGCACCCTAATTTCAAATGGCCATATCTCAGTGAGGTTTTGACCCAGAGATGTACAATTTCGGATTTGTTAGTTTAAGACCATATACTATAACATATTTTTTTTTTTTTAATAAGTTTGGGGTTTGGAGGGGGTCATATTTGCACCATTGGTCCAATTGATATGGAATGACCCATCAGCGAAAAGCGCGTTCATCTATTTTTGTAAATATGTAAATAATTGTCTGGCAAATACGTATTTGAATGGTACTAAAATCGTGTGTGTGTGTGTGTGTGTGTGTGTGTGTGTGTGTGTGTGTGTGTGTGTGTGTGTGTGTGTGTGTGTGCGTGCGTGCGTGCGTGCGTGTGTATTCCATGTTAAAATACCGGTCTTAATACGAAATCAAAGGGCCATAATTCAGGAAATTACAATTCAATATGTGCAAATATCAAAAGGAAACGAAATCTTTGGGTTATATACTTACATTTCACGTTTCAAGAAAATCGGATATAAATTGTGACCTCTATAGGGTCCACAACCTTGAACTCAGTCGTCCTTAGGGTGTAACGGTGATATAATAATATGTTTTTTTAAATCGAATAAAAATTATGACCTCTATAAAGTCCCCAAGCTAACAACGTGATTTTTCGTACAATCAGGGGTCATAATTCAGGAAGTTACGGTCCGATATGCGCGAATACCGAAAGGAGCCGATATCTTTATGTTATAAATCTACATTTCCAGTTTCAACGAAATCGGCTCAAAATTGTGACCTCTATAGGGTCCACAATCTAAAAACGTGATTTTTCGTACAAACAGGGGCCATAATCCATGAAGTTTCGATCCGATTCATGCCAATATCGAAAGCAGCTGAGATCTTTTGGAGATAAACCTATATTTCAAGAAACCCTATTAAATGACGGGGGTAGGGGTCTTAATACGAAAATCCAGATATCATGTTACATATCACTGACAAGCACATTCATTGCTTTTTTTAAATATGCAAATAATGTTTTGGCACATTCATATTTTCATAAAAGATTAAAGTTAAGTTGAAGGGGGGGGGGGGGTAAACTAAAGATGCGGAGCTTAATCCAGAATTCTGCATATCTATATTGAAAATGTGTAGTTATTCCTCTCTTTAAGAGAGAGAGAGAGAGAGAGAGAGAGAGAGGGGGACGGTGGTGAGTGTTTAATACGGAAAGGTATGTTTCTTTGAATCTATTCACGATTATGTACTTTAGAAGAGAAAGACAAATCTTTGTTGTTTTGTCGAAAGAAATATGTCGCTGTCAAACAGTAAACTAATTGTTTATCTCGGTGTTGTTTCCGTTTATGTTAATAAGTCATGTGATATCCTACATTTGCATAATATCAAATATAATGTTGTGCGTAAGATCCTATGTAGAAAGCGTGAAGGACAAATGTGATGCGACAGAGCGCAAATGTAAAATGTAATGAGAGCAATTTAAAATGTTGACGCGTCCAAAAAAAGAAAACCAGCATTTTCCAATAAAACATTTGTCATTTGACGTTTTAATTTAAAGATACATTATGGGAGATTTTAATAGAGAGTTGGCCATTCTCGCTATAACATTTCAAAAATAGATGATGAAAAAATAATATATTGAAAATTTCAGTCAAATTACTTTATTCTGAACAAAGTTATCAAGATTGTAATTTTTGACTAGAAATGGGAGTCAACTCTCTCTTCACTGTCTCCGAGAATGGCCGATCGTTTGATTGACAGGCTAACTCCACCTACATAATCTCGATTATCAAGTAACATTTTCAGTGGCTGTTGTACCGTTAGCCTATTCGGTTTGAGACGGAGTTGCGATTCAATTCGTATCACATTTATTTTTACTACAAACTAAAAATAAGACTTTTAATATATAGATAAGAAGCGAAATTATAGCCGACTTCTTGTTAGCCTGCGTGTGCTCTTGTACTGTAACTGGTAGGCCTACGTAACTCCCAAAGAAGACAAATAGGAAACAGTGATCCGATGGGGCTGCAATTCAACTGGGGTGATCTTAGCTCCGATGTTTATCGATTTACATAATTTTTCTGTAAACGCAAGTGACAAAAGAGCGTATAATACCGACATCCAAACTTTCATTTTAACCACAACTAAACATAATATCAAGGCCGTATATATGGTACTTTCAATCAAATTGACTGACATGCGGCCTTGCTCAACAGCGGCCTCGCTTCGTACACTCTATCATTTAGCCTTGATCTAAAATTTCCGGGAGTAGGATGTCAATGTACTGGTTAATGTCTGCTTACAATGTCATTTAAAAATTTAATAAATCAATGAAATCCTGTTTAAATCCATCCGTGGGTCTACAGAGTTGATTTTGTGCTTGTTGTGTAAATAAAGATCTAATTTATAATTTCTATGACATCTGAAGCCTAAATAAAGACTTGCAATAATCAGATTTAGCTCTTGCATAATGTATGTTTCATTTAACTTTGGCCTTGGAGGTATTTTCACTTTATCATTACCGGTATTAGGAATTTGTACATTGTGCTTTTTACATATAATCAATCGAAAAGACATTTTAGCAGAGCATTTAATATTGGCAGCGATACCCTTCCATACGGTACTGGTGTATTCCAGTCTTAGTCTCGCTTCTCCATTTTTAAATTAAATCGTTAATTAATGGACAAGCTGTTATAATCTAGTTTTGAGCATCTGATGGCATCGAGGGTTGATTATGGTCTTGTCATGCTAATAAATGTCTAATTAAAAAGTTACATAAAATTTAAGGCCTAAAGAAAGACCTGCAATAGGCAAATTTAGCTCTTCAGTAGGTCTAATGTATCTTTAAGAAAGTGTTTAAAATGGATTAGGTTCATGAGGTAGTAAACTACGTCGCGGATAAAATGTGTGATCTACAGAATAGTGTAAAAGGTTTACAAGACTAGACATATAGAGATCAGCAAATCGACCCAATCGACGGGAAAAATAAGTTGGATTGTGGTAGGTTCGGAACAAACTTCCAAATCTTGGATTAAACTTTGCCTTTGTAAAATCTCTGAAATAAAGATATTATTATACCATGACATAATGCTTTAACCCAAGCATTGAGGGAATTAACCAATGCAGTGCTAGAAACTTTTATACCCATTGTCATCTTTAGTATCACAAGTTATCTTTATGGTCTAGGACACCTTACATTAACAAGCGGTTGCCATGCAAGATACGCCCACATTTTGCAAACAAGCTAAAACGATTTTTTGTACAATCTGGGCCATAATCCAGAAAGTTATGGTCTGAAATGCACAAATATCAAAAGGGACTGAGATTTTTGGAATATAAAGATATGTTTTAAGTTTCATCAAAATCGGATAAAAATTGTGACCTCTAGACGGTCCATAACCTTTGTGTTACATACTTATACACAATTTGCTTACCGAGAGCAGCAGTTTCATTTCAATTTTCCCGAAATTCCAATTCAACCTTCATTATGGTAGAATGGTTATATATCTAAACGGTTTTTAAAATCAGGAAAAAATTGTGACCTCTAGAGAATCCACAAGCTAAAGATAGGTTGCCAGGCAACGAAACATACACCCACAGCAGCTAAATCGTCCGAAGGGTCAACAAGGGTTGTCGCATATTTATTCCTTTGTAGGTAATTGGGGGTCTTTACAAGACAGTTCCATACAGATCCGATTATAATTTTGTCGATTGAGGGTTCACAAGGTTCTACAAACTGAAACAAGGGTCTCAACTCTGGAAGTAATCTACAGAAATTGTTGAAATTTGACAGGCTTTTTCGTTTTACTAATTTAAATAATGCATATAACATTTCATACAGATCAGATGATCACTTTTGTCATTCAAACATTCAAAAGGTTCACGATAACCATAACTCTAGAAATTATCGACGGAAATTGCTGAAATTCAATAGACCCCTGTTTCATAAATTCAAATGATACAAATAAATTTCATACATATCGGATGATAACTTTCATAAATCGAGCATTAAGAAGGTTGAACAATGTGAAACAAGGGCCATAACTCTAGAAATAATTATTGTAAATTGCTGAAATTCAAAAGGATTCGTGGTTTCACTAATTTAAATAATGCATATAAATTTCACAAAGATTGGATGATAACTTTCGGCGTTCGAGCGTTCACAAGGTTCAATAATGTGAAACGAGCCATAATTCTAAATGTAATAAATGGAAATTGCTGAAATTCAATAGGATTGTTCTTTTTACTAACTTAAATGGCACATATAAATTTCATACAGATCGGCAGATAACTTTAGAGGTTAGAGCGTACAAGGGCCATAACTCTAAAAGTAATAAACGGAAATTGCTGAAATTCAATAGGATTTTTCTCTTTACTAATTTAAACGATGCATTTAAATTTCATACAGATCGGCAGACAACTTTTGATGTTAGAGCGTTCCCAAGGTGCAACAAAGTGAAACAAGGGCCATAACTCTAGAAGTAATTTGACGGAAATTGCTGAAATTCAATAGGCTTTTTCGTTTCACTAATTTAAATCATGCATATAAATTTCACAAGAGCGTTCCTAAGGTTCAATAAAGTGAAACAAGTGCCATAACTCTAGACGTAATAAACGGAAATTGCTGAAATTCAATAGGCTTCTGTGTTTCACTAATTTAAATAATGCATATAAATTTCAGAAAGATCGGATGATAACTTTTGGCATAAGAGCGTTCACAAGGTTCAATAAAGTGAAACAAGGGCAATAACTCTTACTAACTTAAATGGCACATATAAATTTCATACAGATCGGCAGATAACTTTAGAGGTTAGAGTGTACAAGGGCCATAACTCTAAAAGTAATAAACGGAAATTGCTGAAATTCAATAGGATTCTTCTCTTTACTAATTTAAATGATGCATTTAAATTTCATACAGATCGGCAGACAACTTTTGATGTTAGAGCGTTCCCAAGGTGCAACAAAGTGAAACAAGGGCCATTTCTCTAGAAGTAATTTGACAGAAATTGCTGAAATTCTATAGGCTTTTTCGTTTCACTAATTTAAATCATGCATATAAATTTCACAAGAGCGTTCCTAAGGTTCAATAAAATGAAACAAGTGCCATAACTCTAGACATAATAAACGGAAATTGCTGAAATTCAATAGGCTTCTGTGTTTCACTAATTTAAATAATGCATAAAAATTTCAAAAAGAACGGATGATAACTTTTGGCATTAGAGCGTTCACAAGGTTCAACAAAGTGAAACAAGGGCAATAACTCTTAGAGGTAATAAAATTCAATATGCTTCTTTGTTTCACTAACTTAAATAATGCTTATAAATTTCACAAAGATCGGATGATAACTTTTGGCGTAATAGCATTCACAAGGTTCAACAAAATGAAACAAGGGCCATTAACTCTAGATGTGATGAACAGAAATTATTGAAATTAAAAAGGCTTCTTCATCTCACTAATGTAAACCACATATATCAATGTTAAAACAATCAGATAATAACTTTTGAAGCATTCACAAGAAATTGTGGACAACGGAGAGACGTCTGGACGAACAGAGGCGACGACAATATATGTCCACGTGAAAATGTGGGCGTATAAAAATTATTATCTAAGAGATCAGAATCGGCCTACAACTTGACATGGAGTATTGTAGCCATTTTACAAACTATCTCTTCATGTCTTGTTAATCAATAATGTAATTATTAAATATCAGTTGGATAGGGTCATTGTCCGAATTGAGGGATGAACATAGCCTGAAAAATCTCAAGAGTACTGCTGTACAATAGAGATAAATTTTTGATTTACTCGAAACTAAGCATGAAAATAGTAAGACAGACCTATAACACATATTTGTTCCATTTTTCGCACTCTGAGGCTTAATATTATAGCCACCCCGTCCACAATGCTTGCCATTGATTGTGACATATCAAAACGCTCAGCAATACAAGAAGACATGAGTAATGCACTAACTGAAAAGTGATCAGGATAATCATGATGATGATGATTGTAAGTTGAGAACTGACAGTTTTTGGTGTATCAAAACCGTCAGACACATATATAGTTTCTTCCTGTTCAAATACACTACAACTACCTTGAACGACAATTTTCCGTCTTTCATATCCAGAAATATGTCTATTTGGACAACTTTATTGCAGGCCAGTAGATCACTGTTGATATTTTGACAAGCCTCCATATTCTTCATTAAAAATCTGCCTCCGCCTCTGACTGCTAAAAATAAGACACTTTGCCCCAGAAAATTACACTGGAGTGATTTTAGAATATGTGCACTAATGGCCTTACCTGTACACGTATACAGTAATGTGAGTTATGAATAGATTCTGGTATTTCTAGATACACACACTGTCAGTTTTGCACAGATTAAATATAATTATTGTTTGTAATGCTATACCTTATTTCATCTCGTTCAGCTAACCATTCTTGTATTAAAGCCTTAGAACCAGGACTGATTTGATGCTAAAAATAATAAAATATATTCAACCCAACCTGATCACAACAATCAAGGTCATGAATGGTACAGCACAGCGTAAACTTACAGCCGATCCTGTTGGATCCATTCACTTGATTTGATAGTACTTTTGATGTTTCTTTCTTACATGTGGGATATGTCTTATCACAGGTTTATCTTCTGGGTTTCTGTTTGGTTGTTTGGTGCAGTTCTCCTGTACTTAATATATAAGTTGTGTTGACGAGACGTTGAACTTAATTCTATTCTATTAATTTGATTATGTCCAAATTACTAAATGCCATTCAAAACATCCATTCTATTCCATACGCGACAAATTTAACATTCATATCAACAAGCCCAGAGTGCCGAAATACCTCCAAAATAGATGACACATATTAATTAATTGCACATTTCAAAAGTATCGAGTAATCAAACTGATTATCTATACTTAGTCTAAGCATAAAATGTTCACGATCAAACTCAAACAATGTTTTGAAGTACCTGGTAGTAAAACTATACACTAAGTTTCATCACTCTCCCTATCCGAAGGAACGACCAATGAAATAACTTAGCTCTGCTTAGCTTTAGCGGGAAATGTTAATCATTGAGCTCAGTCAAGACATTCACCTAATGAACATCTACATCAAGATTAAACATTCTACTTTAGAGTTGTTATGTTCCAAAGTTGTGACCAATCAAATTGCTTATGGTTACTTAGCCCAAGCAGAAAATTCTCATCATCGAATTTAGTCAAAGTATTGATAGAATGAATCTATACTTTGCCTACGCAGAAAATGATCAGCATCAAACTTTGTTATGGTATTTATGTAATGAAACTATACACAAAGTTTCACCACTATTACTCAATTAGAATCAAAATTGTTTATTGTTCTGCTTACCCTAGGCCGACAATGCTCATTATCGAACATAGTCGAGATACTAATGTGATGAAACCACACACCAAGTTTCATCACTCTCACCCAATTAGAACAAAGATAGGTTGCCAGGCAACGAAACATACACCCACAGCAGCTAAATCGTCCGGGCAGTCAACAAGAGTTGTCACATATTTTTATTTTTTTCGGTAATGAAACATTTATAATACATTAAAATCGGATTAAGAGTAACAACTCATTAAGTAATTATGAGAAAACCATTAGAATATGTTTGGTTTTTATAAAGTTTTGCCCCATGCTAACGTTTAGTATAGAAAACTTTTAACATCATGGATTTAGCTGTTCAAGTCATAAAAATTCATTGAAAAATCAATATACTTGTTCGTCTCAAGACCTTAAACTCTGTGCATGAATTTGAAGTCAATCGGATGATAACTTTAGCTTCTAGAAGGTCACAAGACTTTTCAAAGTGATCAAGGGCCATAACTTTGGCAGTAATTATCCGAAATCGTTGAAAATCAATATGATTCTTCGTCTCATGACCTTAAACACTCTGTATCAATTTAAAGTCAATCGGATATTAACTTTAGCCTCTAGAGCATTTACAAGATTTTTTGAAGTGATCAAGGGCCATAACTCTGGCAGTAATTATCGGAAATCGTTGAAAATCAATATGTTTCTTCGTCTCATGACCTTAAACACTGTGTATAAATCTAAAGTCAATGGGATATTAACTTTGACCTTACACTGTGTATAAATTAAAACTCAATTGGATATTAACTTTAGCTGTGTATAAATTTAAAGTCAATCGGATATTAACTTTGACCTCTAGAGCGTCCACAAGATTTTTTGAAGTGATCAAGGGCCATAACTCTGGCATTAATTATCGAAAATTGCTGAAAATGAATAGACTTCTTCATCTCATGACCTTAAACACTGTGTATAAATTTAAAGTCAATGGGATATTAACTTTAGCCTCTACAGCATCCACAAGATTTTTCAAAGTATTCAAGGGCCATAACTCTGGCAGTAATTATCGGAAATCGCTGAAAATCAATAGGCTTCTTTGTCTCATGACCTTAAACACTGTGTATAAATTTAAAGTCAATGGGATATTAACTTTGACCGCTAGAGCGTCCACAAGATTAATTGAAGTGATCAAGGGCCATAACTCTGGAAGTAATTATCGGAAATCGCTGAAAATCAATAGGATTCTTCGTCTCATGACCTTAAACACTGTGTGTAAATTTAAAGTCAATCGGATATTAACTTTAGCCTCTAGAGCGTCCACAAGCAATTGTGGACACCGGACCGCCGGACCAACAGACCGATGACAATATACGACCACATTTCAATGTGGGTGTATAAAATCTATCATGTTCCAAAGTTTCATCCAATCATGATCAATTTGCTTATCTCTGCTTATCCTTAGTGGAAAATGTGCATGATCGAACTCTGTCAAAACATTCACCTAATAGACACCTACGCCGAGTCTGAACATTCCACCTCAATTAGAAGGAGAGTTATTGTGTTTCAAAGTATCGACCAATTAGATTGAAATCTTTACTTTGCCTAAGCAGAAAATGGTAAGCATCGAACTTGTTAAGGTATTGATGAAATGAAACTATACACGAAATTTCAACACTATGACTAAATTAGAATCAAAGTTGTCAAGCTCTAAAGTCACGACCAATCAAATTGCTTATTGCTCTGCTTACTCTGAGCTGAAAATGATCACAATCGAACCCAGTCAAGGTATTGATCTAATGAAACTATAAACCAAGCTTCATCACTCTCACTTAATTAGAACCAAAGTTATCGTGTCCCAAGGCATCAACTAATCAAATTGCTTATCTCTGTTTTCCCTAAGCAGAAAATGCTCATCTTCGAACTCCATCAAGGCATCCACCTAATGAACAACTACATCAAGTTAGAACATTCTACTTGAATTAGAAGGAGAGTTATTGTGTCACAAAAAGTGTTATGGACGGACAGACAGATTTTAATAGTCCCCTGTCTATTGAACACATCATTATTTCGCATCACCAGATATGACAACATTACCCAATTGAAATTTCAAAATCAATGAGAAGTGGCATCTGGTTTTCAGAAGGATGAAGCGTATGCTTCTACATGCACTTAAAAAGAAATAGCTTTCGACTAGACCTACCTGTGAATCTTCTATAAGATTTTGTAAAGTGACCAACCATTTAACTTGATATTGATAATCCGGTTGGTTTAACTTCTCTATTTCACCCTACAGCAAATATTACATTTGATATAACAAGCGGTTGCCAAGCAAAATACGCCCACATTTTACAAGAGATGGACAGAGAACAAACTAAAAAGAAACCCGATTTTTCGTACAATCAGGGGCCATAATCAAGGCAGTTCCGTCTGAATCTGATACGCACAGTTATCAAAAAGGAACCCAGATCTTTGGGATACAAACATATATTTTAAGTTTCATCAAAATTGGATAAAGATAGATTGCTAGGCAACAAAACATACGCCCATGGCAGCTAAGTCATCCGGGCAGTCAACAAGTGTTATCGCATATTTATTCTTTTGTCAGTAATGGGAGAAGATTTACAACACATCAAAATCTGATTACGAGTAAAAACCCATGAAGTAATTATCAGTACTGACTTTAGTAATGATGATAAAGGCTTGGCGGAAATTCAATCGCTTTGTTCTCGGTCATAGTGGATCAACTTGAATGAAATTTTCAGCAAATTGCCTTTACATTATCTAGTTTTTAACTATTATAGTGAGAACTGCCAACTCGTTATCGAATCTCCCATAATGTATGTTTAAGTAATTATCAGAAAATCATTAGAATTTGGTTTTTTTTTATAAAGTTCTGCCCCATGCTAACGTTTAGTATACAAAACTTTTAACATCATGGATTTGTAGCTGTTTAAGTCATAAAAATTCATTGAAAATCAATATACATGTTTGTCTCATGGCCTTGAACACTGTGTATAAGTTTACACTGAGAACTACTAAGAGGTCAATCTATGCACAGCCCTTTTAGAAAATTATGTCTTGGGCATTATCTGTACGTCTATCGAAAGAAAATTAATTTCCCGACTAACTATTACCGTGTTAAAGATGTAAATATGGTGCGTTAATTAACAAGGCTGAAAAAATGTCTGAGAGGTGAGTTAATTAATGCTAGGGGTGAAAAACTGTGCAACGGTGCGTTTTCTGTAGATGTGTGTTAATTAAACATGCATTATGCAAGAGCTAAATCTGCCTATCGCAGGTCTTTCTTTAGGCCTGAAATCTTATCTAAATTATTAATTAGACATTAATTAACTTATCCAGACCATAATCAACTCTCGATGTCAAAGCTAGCCTTCGATATCGACTGGATTAGAATCCTATATGCTGCAAACGCTCATTGATAATTAAATCAAAACAATGGATAAACGAGACTATGCTTCTTAACGTACTAACTTTAGTAATGATGAACGAGGCTAGGCGGAAATTTACAAAGTTGATATCTCGGTTCATAGCAGACCAATTTGACTGAAATTTTCAACAAATTACCTTTACATTATCTAGTTTTTAACTATTATAGCGAGAACTGTCAGCTGTGTATCTAATCTCCCATAATGCATCTTTAACCGACCGGTAATGAATGTCAATGGTGTGTATTGTTTAATTGGCGTGTTTTCTCGCTAGTTGCGATAACTGCACCAAAAGGAGTATAATCAAGAACCAACAGGCTTTATCAGACACGTACGTGTTAAATCAAAATTTGGGAAGTAAAACGGTTTTACCGTGAGATTTAACATTCGACCGTGTGTTTTTAGCAGGTCTTTAGATAAGGGTGTGTGCTCCCTATGATCTACGTTTCTCTTATGTGTCTTTTGTATTGCCTAACCATATATATAAAGTTGCATTTATTGAAAATACCAGCGGCTGCCAGGCAGAATACGCCCACATTTTCAAGAGATGGATAGAAAACAAGCTAAAACGAAAGTGATTTTTCCTACAATCAAGGGCCATAATTCAGGAAATTACAATTCGATATGTGCAAATATCGCAAATATCGAAAGGAACCGAGATCTTTGGGTTATAAACTTACATTTCAAGTTTCAACAAAATCTGATAAAAATTGTGACCCCTATAGGGTCCACAACCTTGATATACCATATTTTTGCTATTTGAGAACGAACGGCGGCCATTTTGTCTGTCAGTTTTGTGTCGATTTTCACGAAATTTCGAACTCAGTCATCCTTAGGGTGTAACAGTGATACAATAATACGTTCTTTTAAATCGGATAAAAATTATGACCTCTATAGGGTCCACAAGCTAAAAACGTGATTTTTCGTACAATCAGGGGCCATAATTCAGGAGGTTACGTTCCAATATGCACGAATATCGAAAGGAACCAAGATCTTTGGGTTATAAGCATACATTGCAAGTTTAAACCAAATCGGATAAAAATTGTGACCTCTACAGTGTTTACAAGCTAAAAACGTGATTTTTCGCACAATCAGGGGCCATAATCCATGAAGTTACGGTCCGATACATGCCAATATCGAAAGGAACCGAGATCTGAGGGTGATAAACCTATATTTCAAGTTTCATTGAAATCGGATAAAAATTGTGACCTGTAGACTGTTCACTTGTGGACGGACGGACAGAGCGACGACAATATACGTCCACATGAAAATGTGGGCGTATAAAAAATATGAACCTTAATCTATCGCATACTCAGCGGTTAGCGCACAATATGAATATCCACGGGAATATAGAGAGTAAATCCAGCAAAAAATTTTTTTTCTACTACCGAAAAATATTTCTGCATGATGACTAAAAAGACGCGCACTCACCGTTTACAATTTATTAAATTTATAAAAAACATAAGCCCACTACAGCTAAATCGTCCGGGCAGTCAACAAAAGTTGTCGCATATTTTTACTTTTTTCGGTAATGAAACATTTATAATACACTAAAATCTGATTAAGAGCAACAACTCAAGAAGTAATTATCAGAAAACCATTAGAATTTGTTTGTTTTTATAAAGTTCTGCCACATGCTAACGTTTTGTATGCAAAACTTTTAATATCATGGATTTAGCTGTTCAAGACATAAAAATTCATTGAGAATCAATATACTTGTTCGTCTCAAGATCTTAAACTCTGTGTAACAATCTGAAGTCAATCGGATGATAACTTTAGCCTTTAGAGCGTCACAAAGTGATCAAGGGCCATAATTATCGGAAATCGTTGAAAATCAATAGGCTTCTTCGTCTCATGAACCTTAAACACTGTGCATGAAGTCAATCAGATATTAACTTTGTCCACAAGATTTTTCAAAGTGATCAAGGGCCATAACTCTGGCAGTAATTATCAGAAATCGCTGAAAATCAATAGGCTTCTTCATCTCATGGTCTTAAACACTGTGTATCAATTTAAAGTCCATCGGATATTAACCTAGGCCTCTAGGGTGTCCACAAGATTTTTCAAAGTGATCAAGGGCCATAACTCTGGCAGTAATAATCGGAAATCGCTGAAAATCAATAGGCTTCTTCGTCTCATGACCTTAAACACTATGTATAAATATAAAGTCAGTCGGATATTAACTTTGGCCTTTAGAGCGTCCACAAGATTTTTTGAAGGGATCAAGGGCCATAACTCTGGCAGTAATTATCAGAAATCGTTGAAAATCGATAGGCTTCTTCGTCTCATAACCTCTAACACTGTGTATAAATTTAAAGTCAATCGGATATTAACTTTGACCTCTAGAGAGTCCACAAGATTTTTTGAAGTGATCAAGGGCCATAACTCTGGCAGTAATTATCGGAAATCACTGAAAATCAATAGGCTTCTTCATCTCATGACCTTAAACACTGTGTATAAATTTAAAGTCAATGGGATATTAACTTTAGCCTCTAGAGCGTCCACAAGCAATTGTGGACGCCGGACCGTCGGACGGACGGACAGGGGCGACGACAATATACGACCACATTTCAATGTGGGCGTATAAAAATTGTGACCCCTAGAGGTTCCACATGCTAATAACGCAATTTTTCGTACAATTAACTGTCATTATGGTGTAACAGTGTTATTGTTAAATGTTTTTTAAAATCCGATAAAAACTGTTAACTCTAGAGGGTCCGGAAGCTAAAAGGTGATTTTTAATGCAATCTGGGGCCATAATCCATGAAGTTACAGTCCAATGTGCATGAATATCGAAAGGAACCAAGATCTTTGGAATATAACCATTTATTTTAGGTTTGCATCAAAATCGAATCAAAACTTTGACATCTACCCACATAACAACATGATGTTAAATTTACGTAAAAATGATCAGTCACTTTACCTACATTTTCGGGACTAACACATGGTTCAATTTTATTTTGATAATTCGCTTGCCTGTAGGGGTCTTTAGCTGTGGGAGGAAACTGGAGGACCTGGAGAAAACCCACGAGGTTGGACAGGTGACACTACTCCTTGTCACGTACAACCGAGGAATCGAAACCCCACCAGTTGAATCAATGACAGACCGTATGATACAGTGCGCGCGTGCTAAACATTCGGCCATTCAACCCCCTACATCAAAATGAAATTTTGTGCAAATAATAATCTGTGGGGTACCAAAATTTGTAACCAGCGGCTGCCAGGCAAAGAAAGTGGTTTTTCCTACAATCAAGGGCCATAATTCAGAAAATTACAATTCGATATGCGCAAATATCGAAAGGAACCGAAATCTTTGGGTTATAAACTTACATTTCAAGTTTCAACAAAATCGGATAAAAATTGTGACCTCTATAGGGTCCACAACCTTGATATACCATTTTCTTACGCTATTTGAGAACGAACGACGGCCATTTTGTCTGTCAATTTTGGGTTGATTTTCACGAAATTCGAATTCAGTCGTCCCTAGGGTGTAACGGTGATATAATAATACGTTTTTTTTAAATCGGGTAAAAATTATGACTTCTATAGGGTCCACAAGCTAAAAAGGTGATTTTTCGTACAATCAGGGGTCATAATTCAGAAAGTTACGGTCCGATATGCATGAATATCGAAAGGAACCGAGATCTTTGGGTTATAAACTTACATTTCAAGTTTCAACAAAATCGGATAAAAATTGTGACCACTATAGGGTCCACAACCTTGATATACCATATTCTTACGCTATTTGGGAACGAATGGCTGCCATTTTGTCTGTCAATTTTGGGCCGATTTTCACGAACTTCTTACTCAGTCGTCCTTAGGGTGTAACGGTGATATAATAGAACGTTTTTTTAAATCGGATAAAAATTATGACTTCTATAGGGTCCACAAGCTAAAAACGTGATTTTTCGTACAATCAGGGGTCATAATTCAGAAAGTTACGGTCCGATATGCATGAATATCGAAAGGAACCGAGATCTTTGGGTTATAAACTTACATTTCAAGTTTCAACAAAATCGGATAAAAATTGTGACCACTATAGGGTCCACAACCTTGATATACCATATTCTTATGCTATTTGGGAACGAACGGCGGCCATTTTGTCTGTCAATTTTGGGCCGATTTTCACGAAATTCGAACTCAGTCATCCTTAGGGTGTAACGGTGATATAATAGAATGGTTTTTTAAATCGGAGAAAAATTATGACTTCTATAGGGTCCACAATATAAAAACGTGATTTTTCGTACAATCAGGGGCCATAATTCAGGAAGTTACTGTCCGATACGCCCAAATATTGAAAGGAACTGAGATCTTTGGGTTATAAACTTACATTTCAAGTTTCAACAAAATCGGATAAAAATTGTGACCTCTATAGGGTCCACAAGCTAAAAACGTGATTTTTCGTACAAACAGGGGCCATAATCCATGAAGTTTCGATCCGATACATGCCAATATCGAAAGCAGCCGAGATCTTTTGGGGATAAACCTATATTTCAAGTTTCGTCGAAATCGGATAAGAATTGTGACCTGTAGAGAGTCCACAAACAATTGTGGACGGACGGGGGCGACGGCATAATACGTCCACATGAAAATGTGGGCGTATAAAAATTGTGACCTCTATAGTGTCCACAAGCTAAAAACGTGATTTTTTCGTACAAACAGGGGTCATAATCCATGAAGTTTCGATCCAATACATGCCAATATCGAAAGGAACCGAGATCTTTTGGAGATAAACCTATATTTCAAGTTTCGTCAAAATCGGATAAGAATTGTGACCTGTAGAGTGTCCACAAACAAATTGTGGACGGACGGACGTCGACAATATACGTCCACATGAAAATGTGGGCGTATAAAAAATTTATTATCAACATATTCCTTTAGTAACATATATTATTTTTTTGGGGGGATGGTTCCACATCTTAAATATGTTTTTTGCCACAAAAGATAATTTTGCATAACTTAATTTGTTTTGGTTTTTAAGTGATATTTCTTGGATCACCCAAATAAAACTATTGTTTCCTGTTACCATGGTAACCGTTTTATAAATAATTGGTTTTGTTCAAATTCGAAGGGGAAAACAAAACCAAACCTTCTTATTAGAGTAGAAATATTACCACCTGGCTCAATTTCAAATAATCTTATACAGTAATGTTGAATTTAACAATAACTTAGTAACATCACATGAACAATTCATTTTTTTTTAACTTTCTAAAATACTTTGGAATCACATGTTTTATTTTAATTGTGTTTACGAAAACCAAGTCCCATATTAACAAAAGTTTGACACTTTAAAATATAAATTTATTAGTTTTACATATCAAGACAGATTAGCTACCAGAAGAACTGTTCATGCAAAGAATGTGTACTATCATTCATAGTTATATTTTCATGTGTTTCAATATAATATTTCGACAAACATTTCTCTACAAGCTCGGTTCCCAGAGATAAGTTTACCCTTTGTTTATCTTTGGGAAAACTCGCCGGCCATTAATCAGTCTTAAATCTGTTCCTAAGCTCCACCCCCAGTGACTCCTGATTGGTTGGATTTGATTGAATGAAATGCTGCCGACAATTAGGCATCGGTTCATTGCATGAGTTACATATTAATGATCCTTGGAACATTTCCACATCTTGACATCAAAAGTTAATTCGAAAACAGCCGATTTGAAGATTTACCGCGAACTATTTTTAGCGCGCAATGTGAGTGATTCGACTAACTACGTGAAATTTCTTAAGAAACGCAAGTTTGAGCCCCTATCTTAGATATTTGTGATATTCAAAATGGCCGGTGAGTTTTCCCAGAGATAAACAAAGGGTAAACTTATCTCTGGAAGCCGAGATTGATTTCTCTAGAGACAACTAAGATCTTAATAAGAGTAGTGGTGCTCTTATAAGGGGACATAACTGATATTTGGCAGTTGATGGTATTCCATCAGTCAGAAATTCATGTTTTTTGTCAGGTACTGGCATAAAATATACATTTAGATATATATACTATATCCAGAGAAGATAAAGTACAAAAACAAACCATTAATTCAGGAATAATGGCTGCTGTCCTCCAACCATGTTTTAAAGATGGATCCTAAAATAACCAGAAATAATGAAAGACATCTACTATATATTTTGTCTGTACAAAAGATAGGTTGCTAGGCAATGAAACATACTCCCAAAGCAGCTAAATCGTCCGTGTGGTAGCATATTTATTCTTATGTAGGTAATGGGTGGCATTTACAAGACAATTTCATACAAATCAGTTTATAATTTTCGTCGTTTGAGGGTTCACAAGGTTCTAAAGAGGTTGCTAGGCAACGAAATATACGCCCACAGCAGCTAGGTTGTCACGGCAGTCAACAAGTGTTGTCACATATTTTTTCTAGCATCACACCAAATTTCCTGACTATTTGAAACACACTTTGGCTCGTCTGGATTATTAAATGACTTTTGTGATTATTTGAATGGTTTCTGTCTCTCTTGTATGATCAAATATTCATCGAGGACAACCCGTATAACTAATTTAGTTCTTTAGTAATCTCCATTTGTGTAGATAGGTTTGTTTATGACATCATGGTGGAGTTTAATAATCGTGGTCTTAACAAATTCTACAGAAAAAGACTTTTTTCTAAAAAATGCCAAATTGCAAACCTCCTGAATTTTGATGCTAAAATTCTGAAATAAATCGCAGAACATCTCTGTGCCTTTTCGATGCATTGTGCCACGTTTTATCTTTCTACTGTAACGGGAAGTATTTTTTCCGACTTTTTCAAAAATTTCACATCGAGTCATTTTTGGTGAAAAACTCAAAATGGCGGCGGCCCGCCATTTTTGGTAGGAAAATTATAATATTTGCTGGTGATGAGTTTGGACCCAATTGGAAACGCATGGCACATGGTAGAGTTCAATCGCGAAAAAAAGTTCAAATATGAAACACCCTACTCTAGAGTGTCCACAAGATTTTTCAAAGTGATTAAGGGACATAACACTGGCAGTAATTATTGGAAATAGCTGCAAATCAATAGCATTCTAAACACTGTGTATAAATTTATAGTCAATCGGATATCAACTTTAGTCTCTAGAGCGTCCACAAGCAATTGTGGACCCCGGACTGATGGACGGACGAGGACGACGACAATATATGACCACATTTCAATGTAGGCGTATAAAGACTTAAACAAAGATCTTAACTTACAGAAATTGTTGAAATTTGACAGTCTTTTTCGATCTACTCATTTAAATAATGCATATAAATTTCATACAGATCGAATGATAACTTTTGTCGCTCGAGGGTTCACAAGGTTAAAAACCAGCGGCTGCCAGGCAGGATACACCCACATTTTCGAGAGATGGATAGAGAACAAGCTAAAAAGAAAGTGATTTTTCCTACAATCAAGGGCCATAATTCAGCAAATTATAATTCGATATGTGCAAATATCGAAAGGAACCGAGATCTTTGGGTTATAAACTTACATTTCAAGTTTCAACAAAATCGGATAAAAATTATGACGTCTATAGGGTCCACAACCTTGATATACCAAATTTTTACGCTATTTGAGAACGAAGGCCAGCCATTTTGTCTGTCAGTTTTGGGTCGATTTTCATGAAATTCGAACTCAGTCGTCCTTAGGGTGTAACGGTGAAATAATAATACGTTTTTTTTAAATCAGATAAAAATTATGACCTCTATAGGGTCCACAAGCTAAAAACGCGATTTTTCGCACAATCAGGGGCCATAATTCAGGACGTTACAGTCCGATATGCGTGAATATCGAAAGGAACCGAGATCTTTGGGTTATAAACTTATATTTTAAGTTTCAACAAAATCGGATAAAAATTGTGACCTCTATAGGCTCCACAACCTTGATATACCATATTTTTACGCTATTTGAGAACTAAGGGCGGCCATTTTGTCTGTCAGTTTTGGGCCGATTTTCACGAAATTCGAACTCGGTCGTCCTTAGGGTGTAACGGGGATATAATAATACAGTTTTTTAAATCGGATAAAAATTATGACCTCTATAGGGTCCACAAGCAAAATACGCGATTTTTCGTACAATCAGGGACCATAATTCAGGAAGTTACGTTCTGATATGCACGAATATCGAAAGGAACCAAGATCTTTGGGTTATAAGCATACATTTCAAGTTTGAACCAAATCGGATAAAAATTGTGGCCTCTACAGTGTTCACAATCTAAAAACGTGATTTTACGTACAATCAGGGGCAATAATCTATGAAGTTACAGTCTGATACATGGCAATATCAAAAGGAACCAAGATCTTAGGGTGATAAACCTATATTTCAAGTTTCATTGAAATCGGATAAAAATTGTGACCTGTAGACTGGACAGACAGACAGGGGCGACGACAATATACGTCCACATGAAAATGTGGGCGTATAAAAATATGTAGAATGTTGGATGATTTATATAATAAATTACTTACTGCTAAATCACTATATACATGATCACCAAAATATAAAACTTTACTACCATACCATCCTGTCATTTCTTTTAAACGAGAAAAATTACCCTGAAATTAAATTCAGTCTGACATAAAAGACCATTTCAAAATAAGAGCATACAATTCTTTTCTATTTTTTGTACTTTTATTTTGTCAAATGATCATGTGGCTAAATATCTTAACTTCACAATTAAGGTTCTACGTTTATTTTATAATCTGTTTATTCATGCTGTTTAGCGGAATTCATTAACGATAGCTAATTAGGGTTTCACACTACATAGCTTGTGTGAAATACTATTGTTTTTGCTTGAATTATTATTCTTATTGAGGCTGTCTTTATGGATTTTAACAATAAAATTGTTTTTGAGGTTTTATGATTATCTACTATTAACTCTATCTAAGAACACATACCAGTCATTTTTTTCACAAAATTCTTTTTTTATTTCTACAAAATTTCTATATAGCTTGTGTGAAACACTATTTTTTTTTGCTCGAATTATTATTCTTATTTACGCTGTCTTCGTGGATTTTAACAATAAAATAGTTTTTGAAGTTTTATGATTATCTGCTACTAATACTATCTAAGAACACATTACATACCAGTCATTTTTTTCACAAAATTCTTTTTTTTATTTCTACAAAATTTGGTTCTGAATCATCCCACCCTTTTCTATTTTGCCCTATTTCCACTAAAACTATGGATAAAAATCTAACAACAATAGGTATTTCACACACGAAATACTCAGCTTCTGATAGATAAACAGCCACCATGTTGAATACTGTTAGAAAGCTTGGGATTTCCCATATTGAAAGGAAATGACATTTTTGGGGTTCATATAAAATTATATGTGACCGGCCGCATCTAAATGAGTCAAAATGCGGGAGAATCAATAATGAGATAAAGACAAAATAAGTGAAAATATTGATTTTGAACGAAATTGAGATTTTCACAAAAATGAGTCTATAAATATACTATCTATTGACACAGAAGATCAAAATAGCAATAAAACATTTCAAAACACCTGTATTTGAACGTTTTGTAAGAGTACCGTATTCTTAAATCTGTCCTATTTCTCAAAATTCTCAGTAAAATTAGTTATTTTTCTTCGCTCGCAGTGGGACGACTGGTCATTCCTCTTGCATAACAATTGGCATCGTTGTAAAGCGGAGCATCTCTAGTTTATAAAAAAATATAAATAAACTCCGCCTGTTGCCATGCTGTCCACACAACTCCTTTGCTGATTGGCCCGGACACCGCGTGCAAGACATTATCGATAAATTATTGGTTTTGACAATGTTTTTGGGTACCTACATGCGATTCTCACTCTGATAAGTGGCAGAAAAAAAAATTCATTCTGATCGTATAGATTGCCGTTAAGTGTTAATCGAAACCACGTGGCTGATGATGTAAATTAATCGACAAGCGGGTGTGTGTCATTGAGTAATACTATTACTAATCAACTGTCACGGGTCAATGATAAAGCTGTGGGCAACTCATTATTTACTCAGAATAATTAATCCAAGTGGTGATTGTTTGATATCTCATATCATCTTTAAAAAATAATCTATAGGCCTTAAATGGAAATAAACAAAATGGCCAATAATGTTCTTTACGAAGAGAATTTTATTGATAGCTGAATTCCGTTTAACGTCGCTTCTCCATACGGCATGCAAAGTAAGGAATGCATTTGGGATATTATTGTTTAAAATTCTCTTATCACAATGGGTCGAAAAAATGAGAACGATCAACGAGCCGAAATGCGACGATTCTCGAGTCTGCCATTGAGTATCCTCTGAATAATGTTGATATTTACATCAAAGCCAAAATGCACGAAAGTGAACGAAGCATTGACTATGAAATTGACATTTCTATAGGGACTCATATTTTGATAACGTCACAGTACCTGAAAATAATAATAGACCTATCGTACACGCAAAATCTTATTTTTAATTCACGTGTTAAATGAACACGCGTACAGCTGTTGCGGCTTCTTTGATGATTATCCAATCAACAATCTTAATCTCCTGACCACTAGCTGGCACTAAGGTGCTAATTAATTGGTGAGATTAACTGTTAATCTCACTAAAGTTATATTATACACAACAGACTACTAATGTATAGATTGTTCTTCAGTATAACACTATCATGTGAATATTATGCCGTATGTGTTGTGGATTTTTTCGTTACGAAAGGAGTGCATTTATTACGATTTTCGTCGTCAGCACCCTTGAAATCCTAAATAAAAAACATATTAAACGACAAATTATAGCAAATAAATTGGGGAAATAGTTGGATCAAATTTTTACTACGATTTTCGTCTTCAGCACCCCTGAAAACCCATGGAAAGATATATTCAACGAGAAAACAGCAGATAAATGGCCTTGTTGCTATGGGATTATGTTTTGGAACATACCAAATCTTTGACTTGCTTTTTTTCAAAACTTACCTTTATGAGTTGGGTAGCTTCTAATGGCCACAGCTCAGTCAATTTGTGCCCAATTCAAACAAACTATACATCAAATTGAAGGTAATGAGTTGGAGAATGTGAAAATAACAATAACTCAATTTTCAAAATTTCCTCATTGTGACTCAGTATGCTGTGGGGGGTCACATATTTGATTCCAATGGCCAAATAGAATGAATCAATCCTATCATATAGATATCAAAAAAGTGTTTCTAACATTTTCCTTGCCGAAATATAACCAATTTTGTCAGGATCACTTTTTAAGATTTTTCGCTTTTAAACATATATTATGCAAGAGCTAAATCTGCCTATTGCAGGTCTTTCTGTAAAAGAGAAACCCTCTAATCGTATTCTTCCGGTAACAAACTTCTTTCTTGAATTCGGCACATTCTAGGAAACCTTGATTTTAGAGACTGGAAAGCTGCTTCTAGCAGGGGATTTTAACATTCATGTAGACGACTTGAATGACACATCTGTGCAGAACTTCATGTCACTACTCGAATCTTTTGGTTTGCACCAGCATGTAAACCGAGAAACTCACTGCCTAGGACACACACTGGATTTGGTTATAACCAATCAAACGGATCTTGAAATAGCAAACCTAGTCCCAATTACAAAAACTTTCAAATTTAGAAAATACAAGAATATTGATTCTGAAAAGTTTAAAAGTGATCTACATAAACTTTTTTCCAACAGATCTACATCCGTGTCACCTGAACAATTGATTGTAAATTATAATACTGTCATTACATCTGCCCTCAATAAACATGCACCAGAGAAAACAACTACTTTGGTTATCAAAGATGGTTGCCCATGGTTCAGTTGGGATATTCGAAAAGCCAGAAAAAAGTGTAGAAAAGCAGAGCATACATGGTTGTCTTCAGGACTGCACGTTCATAAACAGTCTTTTAATTTTGAAATAAACAATGTGAAGAAGTTAGTGGCAGACGCAAAAGTGAATTATTTCAATAATAAGATCAACGAATGTAAATCCAATCCGAAAAAACTTTATTCAACTGCTAACGATCTTCTGAACACTGCAAAGTCGAAAAACATTTTACCTGAGCATGACTTACCAGGGGTCCTTGCTGAGACCTTTGTACAATATTTTCACGACAAAATATCGAAAATCCGATTAGATATAATAACAACTCAGACAGCATGTAAGGCACCATCCTCGCCTTACAAAGATGTTTCTTCTGCCACTTTCTGCGCTTTCACCAACTATTCAAAACCTGAACTCCGTAACATCATCAAGAAAACAAAAACCAAATCTTGTAACTTAGATCCTTTGCCTACATGGTTACTAAAGAACCATATTGATGTGTTTATTCAACCTCTGCTAGCCATCATTAACTGTTCCCTTCAAACTGGTATATTCCCAGATGAACTATTGTAGATGAACATGCTACAATAACACCACTAATCAAAAAAGCCACACTGGATCGTAACTGTCTCAAAAACTACAGGCCTGTCAGCATCTTAAGCTATGTGTCAAAACTCTTGAAAAAATGTGTGCTTCTCCAGTTGAATGATTACATCTTCGTCAACAGACTAGACAACGCTTACCAAAGCGCTTACAAGCCACACCACAGCACCAAAACAGCAATCATCAAAATTGTCAATGATGTTTATGTTGAGATTGACAAACAGAAAGCCGTTGTTCTGGTACTCTTAGACCTGTCGGCAGCGTTCGATACCTTGGACACAGCTGACCTCCTCAATACACTTTGGAGCGAAATAGGTTTAAGAGGAACAGTATTTAATTGGTTTAAATCATACTTAACCAACAGAAAGCAGAAAGTGCTATCAATGGTAGTTACTCAACAGACAGGACCCTGCTCTATGGAGTACCACAAGGTTCAGTATTAGGTCCTGTACTGTTTATTATATTCACCAAACCTCTGAGCAAGATAGCACTCAAGTATGGATTAAACCTTCACTTATTCGCCGATGACACTCGGCTATATATCAGCTTTCATCCCGGCACACAGCAGGCATCCAAGACAAACATCGAGCGCTGTTTAAAGGAAATCCACAAAGCAGCTAAATCGTCCGTGTGGTAGCATATTTATTCTTATGTAGGTAATGGGTGGCATTTACAAGACAATTTCATACAAATCAGAAGCTCCAACAAATCAGAGACTGCAACATAACAGTTGGTGGTGAAAAGATTGAGCCATCTGTTAAGTAAAGAACATAGGAATAGTCTTAGATAAAAACCTGTCATTTCAACCACAAGTATCTGCTGTATCATCATCTTCATTTTATAAAATACACTAACTGAGTAGAATCAAACAATATCTCTCCTTAGATAACCTCAAACTTCTTGTCCAGTCTCTTGTAATATCTAAACTTGACTATCATAATGCAGTATTATACAGAATTCCTGACCATCAAATCCAAAGGCTCCAACATGTTCAAAACGCTGCCGCAAGGCTCATCACTGGCACCAAGAAGTGAGACCACATCACTCCCGTTTTGCGTGAACTCCACTGGATGCCAATCAGAGCCCGAATTGAATACAAAATTCTCCTGTTGACTTACAAAGCATTACACGGTTTAGCCCCAGATTACATAAGAGAATTAATATCAAAGCTACCT